GAAAGCTTACAACCTGGATGAGAAAAGAGATCATAGTTGTAAAAAAATATGAACAGTAACAATGGCACTTAAGATTTCTGTATGCTTAGGATGTGCTAGCCACTAAGGAAAATGATGTGTGATCCTTATTTGATACTCATAGTAACTGTCAGATTGATAATTACAATTTACGGTTGAACAAGAAAATTGAACAGGCTTTCAAAGATTTAAGTATTGGCTCAATAGTGAATGAGACTTAAGTGTTGAATGAGTTCAGAAGAGAAAGAGAATTCTGGGCTAATTCCCTAATGTTCTAGCGCAGAAATGGCCAGCACTCCTAAAGAGTACAAAAGAGGACTCACTACTTACAGCTTTGGGATGGAAATCAGGGATGATTGGTGTCTTACAGTACCCAGGACCGCTTTGTATAGCAGTATCATACTCTTCAAAGTTTCCAGATACCCTACCAAACATTCCTGTAGGTGAACCACATGCATATAACCATATACTAGAAGTTCTAAACATAAAGCATTTCAAATGATTTTAGTATTTACTGTACATGTATTCCAGAAATAGAAACTGCTTCTAATTGAAAGACAATTTGTTTAATATTTTTTTGGAGTTTTCTAAGAGTTAATTCAGCATTTTGAAGTTGACTTTAAAGATAGCAGTACACATCATGATATCTGAGTTACGAATATGACACACATCTCTGCATGTATATCTGTGGTGCTAGCAGTGATTCTGCACAGAGACAAGCATCTAATGACTGTCTAGGATGAATCCTGATGTATAGAATATGATTAATGGGCTGGAGATTTAGCTCTGTGGGGCTGCCACCTGCCTCACAAGCACAAGGTCCTGAGTTCGATCCCCAGTACCACAAAAGAATAAATAAATAAAAAAGGGAGAGAGAGAGAGAGAGAGAGAGAGAGAGAGAGAGAGAGAATTTGATTCTTGAAGTGTATGTATTAGACTTGTTTGCCTGTATCTAGGTAATACAGGTAAAGCAGATTTTTATTAGAATCATTTTAAAATATGTAGTGTCTTATACTGAACCGAAATAGAAGTATTATATGAACTTATTTTCTAATTTATTTGTTTAATAATGTTTTTGTAATTGTGATTTCTGATTATGGGTGCTTCCTGTGGTCTTCTTGCACATTTCTTGAGCCCTATCATAAGGTGTATCCACATAATGGATTTTCACTAAACAGACACATGAAACAGTGCTGGAAAGCATGATTGCTAGATTTTTTCACTTGGGTAATTTTATGCCACTTTAAAGTCCCAACTGTATTCTTACTACAAAACTTCTTAACCTCAGAATGTGATTTTTGGGGGGCAAGAAGGACACTTTGAAGGCTAGCAAAATCTCTAACATTACAGCTGAGGTAGCATTTCAGTCAGTCTTTACTTTTATGGGAAAGGTAAGTAATATTTTTATTAAGATGAAGTTTTGGACTCTGCCTACATTCTCTGGATTAGTGATTCTCCAATAGAATTATAATGCAAGCTGCATATATAAAATGAAATTTCTAGTATCACGTTTAAAACAACCATATGGGGTTAATTTAAATAGTGTGTCATTGAAATCAGTATATCTAAAATATCATTTCAACATGTATTCAATATTTAAAGATTAATGAGATGTTTTACCTTTTTCCCATGTGAAGTATTCAAAAGCAGTATGCATTTGTACTCTAGGCTCTGAACTCAGATGCAAAACGTTCCCTGGAAATACTTGATCTATATTTAGATTTCATGAAATTTAAAGTTGAAAAAATAGTTTCACCCACCCAAGAAGTTCCAAACTTAAATATTTCCTGGTGAATTAAGTATAAGTCTATTGCCTGCTTTGTCTGTCTGTCTGTCTGTCTGTCTGTCTCTCTATGAATGACACTAGAGATATTCAGGCCTTCACCCTGAGCTACAACCCCAGCCCTGCTTATTATTTTAATTGAGACAGCGTCTCACCAAGTTGCATAGTTATTCAGGATGAGCTCAAACATGAAATCTCATGCCTTAGCCTTAGTGCTGAGATTATAGGTGTGCAACACCCTGCCCAGCTATGAATTTATATTGAAATTATTTATAGTTAAAGAAAAAAATGGAAATAAAGAAAGTAAAATGGAAAAGTAAGTTCCTCAGTGGTACTCAATGACTCCCTGTTGTTACTCGTATCTGCTGTATTGGACAGCGTAGCTGTAGATGATTGTTTTATTTTGGTTTTCCTCCCCTGAACTGGGAACTGAATCCAGGATCTTCACACTGAGCTGCATCTCCAGGCCTTTTTTCAGTTTTGAGACAGGGCCTTTCTAAGTTGCCCAGGTTTGGCTTGAGCTTTTGGTACTACTGTCTCAGCCTCCCAGAGTGCTGGGATTATAAGCATATGCCACCACATCAGATAGCTTTTGTTACTGAAACTGTACATGTTGGGGTTCTCCTATTTTCTAAGTGCTTTTCTGTTTTCCCAGATTATTGTTATGTAGAATTAGTCTATGCCGCTAAATTCTTTTCAGAAGCTGATGTATTCATATATCAGAGGTATAAGTGCTGAGGGAGGAAAACAGCTGTGTATTTGCATTCTTCATCCCCAGGGCCAGGAAATAACATACATGAAGTAGGTGTTTAATAAATGTTTTTCCTATCTAAATCCCACTTAGTCTTCAAATTGCAACTTAAATTTCAAATTTCACTTTCTCCCTTGAGAAAGGGTAATGTGTCCCCATGCACAGCACAGGGTGGACACTGTGGATACTTAGGGTCAAATAATAGCCCAGGGACATTTATAATATGAAGTGGTCAGCAAAGTGCTTGATTTCTACCTTATAGAGGATGGAATTTGGTCCAAATCAGAGAAACAGGGATTTTTAAGGAGTACATATACTAACACACTTATTCTTATCTTTTGTTTAAGTCTTGTCAAAAACTCAGGTAAGTATACCCTTTCATGGCCTTTAAGTCTGCTTTATTTGTATTCATTTTCTTAACTTTACCACTTCATTTCTGTCATTCTGCATATATTTTAAGGTGCACTGATGACTAAAAAAAAAAAAAATGGAAAACTACTGTGAAATTAAGAAAATGAGAAAGGGTTTAGGGCCAAACAAATGTGCATAGAGGAGACATCTCTTGGTGTTTTTCAACAGTTTAAAATAAAGCCACCCCTTTAATTATACCAGAGTAATGAGCCCTACCGACAATATGTGAAAATATAATTAAAAATGGATTGTGGGCCAGCACACCAGGTTGTCAGGTCATTACCTGGATCATAAAGTTGGAAGTAATGCCCATTAAAGGTTACTAGTTTGGAAAGGTTAGATTAGAATTGAGAGTCTCGGAAAACATAATAGTTTTCCAATTTGAATTATGCTTTAGAAAACATCTAGCATCTGACTTTTTCTTGTAACTTTTCATGGAACTGTACTACGCGTACAGAAATGTGCATGTAAGGGCACAGCTTCCTGAATTTTAACATCCTGCCCAGAATCAGTTCACCACGACCAGCATCCCTAAAGCTGCTCTCTTACTTTTTCCTCTTCCTCTCCCTGCCCCCCAAACCACTACCCTGACTCAGAGAAGTTCTTCCTGTTTCTGTACCTTGTATACATGGAGTCATACATAATCTGCTTTGAAGCTCATATAGTAGATTATCATTCTAAGTGGCATTTCTGATACAGACTCATTGAAAATAGGTCTGTTTTTAGTTTTCCTTGTTGTGTCTCTAATTTGTTAGACTGACACTTTACCACTGTTTCTAGGTTGTTACTGTTCCATGAAGAACATTTCTGTGTAAATCATGTGTGCGCGTGTGCCTGTCTGTGCACACATGTACGTGCTTTTACCACTTTTACTCCTCTTAGGCCATGCGGTGCTATGTCTTCGTCCCCTCTCAGCAATGTCTTAAAGCCCTTTTCTTTCATGTCAGTGCACACAGATTCACTTCGTTTCTTGATTATGGTGTAGTGCTCTGTTGCATAGAATTATCATAATTTCATGAGCCAGCTGTCCACTGAACAGCAGTTAGGTTTTACTGGTGTTTTGATTGTAGGAAAATAGAATCCATATGAGTTTATCAGTAAAATTAATTCTTAAAAGTGGAATTGCTAGGTTGAGAAGTTCCATGCATTTTTAAATTTCTCAGATATTTGTGAATGGCCCTCTGAAGAGTTTTTTCAGTTTTTACTCCTACCAGAAAGATTTGAAAATTCTTCATTTCCCTTCTTTAGATTATGTGTTATCAATCTTATCAATCTTTGTAATCTGAGACAGGAAAACCAATTAGTCCATGTATTTAATTTGCATTTTGTTTAGTTTCAAGTGAGCCTACTTATTTATGCTTATTGATCCTAACCTTTGCTTATTTCCCTATAGTTTATTCTTATATTTTCTTAATGATCTCAAGGAATTCTTTCAATATAAAGAAAAATAGCTCTCTTATGTCATTTCCGATGGTATTTTTTTCCACTTATTTGTCTTTTCTGTTTATAATCATTTTTTTTCTAAACAGGTTTTAATTTTTATGTAGCAAAATGCATTTTTCTTGTTTTAGTGGTTTATGAATGTTATGTCAGAAAAAGCATGGGAAACTTGAGAGAGACAAGTTAAGCCTAACCCAGGAAAAGAAATCTCAATAAGCAGGGCATGGTGGTGCACGCCTGTAATCCCAGCTCTTGGGAGGCTGAGGCAGGAGAATCGCTGTGAGTTCAAGACCAGCCTGGGCTACATAGTGGGCTCTAAGTCAGTCTCAACTACATAGTGAGACCCTGTCTCAAAAAACCAAAAAAAAAGAAAAAAAGAAATCTCAGTAAATGTTGATGAGAAATGTGATTATATAGGAATTCAAATTAGAGTCAAAACTGGTGTGACCAATTATAAATAAACAAAAATTTCTACATAACCTACTATAATGTATTTAGCATTTTAAACAACTTTTGGGAGGACTTTATGCTCTCCCACGCCCTTGTGCTTTGTTACTTGGGTTTTAATTTCTCAAATGATTCCTTTTTTTTTTTTAGATTGCAAGCTATAACGTATTTCCTGCACCACTGCTGACACCCAGTGACCCATGTCAGAAGTACTTCCAGGTCAGATATGTTTTTACATATTTCAATGCGGAGAAACAGTTGAATATTAAAATTTTATAAGATATATGATGTGCTTTTGGTTTTCACTGCTCTTTACTAAATAATAGAAAAAGAATTTTTAAAATAAGGTAGAAGAACCAGTTGGACTTAACCTATTTTGTAATATTGCATGACTGTGCATATCATTACGTAAAAATATTTCAGGAAAATTAAAACTCAAATTTTACCTCCTAGCATTGTACGTTATAGCACAAGAATTGTTGAAATAGGAACAAAGGGGTGAGTAATAGTGTTCTGAAGAGCAATAGCAACTACTTATATTGTGGGGTTTTCTAGAATAGAATTTCCTAATTTAGTAGTCTCTTTAGATCTAATCTTGATTAATTTCAGGCCTTAAGAAAACTGCTTGAGGGCCGGAGATTTAGCTCAGTGGTGCCATTGGCTGCCTTGAAAGTGCAAAGTCCCAAGTTCCATCCAGGGTATAGAAAAGAGGGAGAGAGAGAGAGAGAGAGAGAGAACAAACTACTTGTGTATGGCTCTCTCAAATGATAGATATTAGTCCATACAGTGTGCTATGAGATTTAATTATTAGCCTCTCAATAATATAAAAATGGCAGGAACATGTCAATCTAAATATAGGACTTCAAATGGTACATAGATCTGAGAAGATTTCACTTCTTAGGATATGTAACACTCAGCAAGTTCTCATTTTTTATATAAGTAGACTTAGCCATGGCCAAATAGATATGAATGCCCTTAAATTCTAAAGTTAAACTTACTATTAAATCTATTCAAATCCTTTCCTTTATATAACACTTTGCATGTTACATTTCAACAAAGTAAAACTTAAAATACACAAAGAAGTAAAATCAATAATAAAATAAACACTAGGCTCATAATAGGTATATGATTAGCAAGAAATACCTAAACAGGCGGTTAAAAGCCAAGCACAGTGATGTGCATCTATAACCCCTATACTCTTGAAGGCTGAGGCAAGAGGGTCACAGATTGAGTCCTGTCCAACAACTTGGTAAGACTTTCATTAAAATTTTTTGAAAGGAAACCTGGGATTTGGCTCATGTGAAGGCCCTGGGTTCGATCTCTACTACTACCAAAAAAAAAAAAAAAAGTGAAAAACAATGTAACAAACCCAAGTTTATGCAGGAAAATCAAGAATTAAAGCTGATTCTTAGGGCATCTAATCGATTATATTGTGATGATTTGGGAATGGGATAGATTTTCTTTATAAATATAAATATATATTTTTTGAATAGATACATTAATGTTATAAACTCAGTGCAAATATATGCATCCTTTAAAAATATTTCTAAATGTTGAGAATAATTTCTTTCAGAGATCCTTTAAAATCTTATGTTACATTGAAAGTAGATTCTGTATTGAAACATTAATAGAAAAAGCCTGACCAATATATAAAATGATGAGTATTCCTCTAAATGGAGGTAAAGAATCAAATAATTCTAGAAGTTTCTTATTGTTTCTATATTTTGCTGTGTTGATATATTCATTGTTTTTGAAGGAATTCAACTTTATTTTGAGATCATTACATGTGATACTGAAATGGTTATCCAGCACGAATTTCAAATAACCGCCACTAGTATCATGCAGTGATATAATAGGTCATGAATTTTATAAGGAAAGCAGTGTTTTTATTTCAGTGGAGGATCTTAGTCTGTGTTATCATTTTATTAAAAAGCTTGAATGATCACTCTTGAGGGAGGAAGTGGTCTAGTAGCTGGAATAAAATATATCTTCAAACACATTTTTGAACTCTTGGAAGCTGTGACTGCAAGGAGCTTTTTTAAAAGTTGAACCTCCCAAAGTTTAAACGATCATCTGCCTGCAAAATATCTGTTAACCTTTCAAGATATAACTCAGGAATCCCTTCCAAATAGAGCTTTGCGCCTTTGCCCATAACATAGTAAAAAATTACCCTATTTTAAGGATTCTGCTGTTTAATACTGATTTTTGTTTTCTCCTTTGGGAATTGACGTAAGCTTCAGATTATCAGTTACTCAAGAAAACATGCAGTGTCCCAGTGTTTCCAAGCTTTACCATTGACATTGTTCACTTAACTTGGCCATAAAAATCTATGGAGACTTGCTGGGTGTGATAGCACACTGTTGTAATCCCAGCACTCAGGAAGCTGAGGCAGGAAGATCACTGTGAGTTCGAGGCCACCTGGGCTACATAGCAAGACTCTGTCTCAAAAAAACAAATAAAAGCAAGCAAGCAAACAGAAAGCATAGAGTTCTACTTAAAAAGTCATCTTCAGAAGAAGAGCAAGAACAGCTTAGAAATGAGCAGAAAAAATATCCCTGAATAAACATAGTTTCTCAAGGTGACTATTTTTAAGAATCTCTATTTATTTGAGCCACAGATGGTGTTTCATATTTCCAAAGTAACCATTCATCACATCTGCTGAGTGTGATGTTGGAACATCAGGCTTTCCTATCAGGGAAAGGTGCCTTGACTTCCCTGTCTCTACCTTCCTTCAAGACCCAACTCAGCTCTTCATGTGAATGCTTCCCTGAACCTCTGTCCTCAGCATTCATCCCATGTGCTCATAAGATCCTTCCGACACTGTGAATTCGGGGGAATGTCTTTGGTACTCTCTTGTTGCTGGGACGCAATACCCACCAACACCCACCCTTAAAGGAAGAGAGGTTGATTTTAGCTCACAGTTTGGAGAGGTTTCAGTCCATAGTCAGCTAGGGGAAGGCCAGACAGCATGGCAGAGGAGAAAGACCTCATGGCAAGGCAATGAGGGGCAGGGCCAAGATCAAGGGAGGAAGGATAAATACACACATGCTCATGTACATGTGTGCACGCACACACGCGCACACACACACACACACACACACACACACACACACACACACACACCCGTTCCGGGCCATGCCCCCAGTGACCTACCTCTTTCACCTCTCAACATCACACCTAGGTATAAACCCATCAGTGCACTAATCCAGTATCACACACCCATGATCCAGCCTCCTCTGCAAAGCCCCACCTATGAGTGCACAAGGCTGTGGGGAACATCTAGATATAAACCATAACATGGAATAACTGTTATGGGAATAACAGAGAATCTTTCTCACTAACATTTCAGATTTGTTTCTATCACTGGCAAATAAAAGTTGTGTACATCATGGAGTGCCTAAAGAGAACTAATTCAGATCTGACTGAGTTTCTTAAAGAAAATTATTTGCTCCATCTCTCTTGAATTGCTTGTTATCTGTTGAGATCACTCATTTCTTGTAGACCCATGAATTTACTCTACAAGCTCTAGAAATTTGCAGTTCTATTCCTGTGATCTCCCTGACCCCATGGCCCAAGCTGCCTTCTAATAACATTTGCCTCTTGTTCACAGAGAAGTTCTCATCATTCTTATCATGTGGAGGTTTGCTTTCCTGAGTAATTTCAGGAAACAAGCTTTCTTTTGCTTCTCTTCCTAAAAGGAAGAGAAAAATCTGGGTTTCTTTCATTACCTTAATACTTTGAGGTCTAGTTCAAGAGGCAGGATTCCTTAGGACAGCAGTTTTGCTGTTAACTCCTCAGTGGAAGTAAAAGTTGTTTAGCAGAGGAGTAAAAATGTAGAAAATGTGACATCTCATTCAAGAACGGGGCAAAGTTTGGACTAATTTGTGCTCATTTGTCAGCCTGTTTCCAGTTTTATATGTGGGAGAGCAGAGGGAGAGCAGCTGATTACTGAGGAGAGGGGAGTTTCCTGTCATTCCTGACAAGCTCTTCTTTGACAGAGGCTGGAGGTCTCTGGGAAGAGATGGGGCGAGGAGCTGCCACACTATAGGGAGAAGCACAAGTCCAGCTGGGATGGCGGTAGAGGGGAGTGTCTGCCTGGCTGCACCTGGGCTGGGGCCTTTGTGGCTGGCCTTGAGAAGAGCTGTGTCTCATGAAATTAAAGTGACACTGCCCTACCTAACATTGTTTAGGTTTCATTTTTAAAAATGCTTGATTTATTAGCCAGGGCTCTTTTAATTGCAGAAAAGAGCAAACTAGCTCAAAGTGGCCTTAAGCAATATAAATAAGTCAGTCTGTTTGCTGAGAAAAGTCCAGGGCTGTTACGTTCAGGGAAGACTTATTTTTGGGGCTCAACCAGTACCACTAGGACTCTCTCACTTTCTGTCTCAGCTCTGTTTCCTTGCTAGACTTTTGCTCAGGCAGGTTGTCTCTTCATGGTGACCTCTGAGGCTCAAAGATTGCATGTTCTAGTTTCAGAGAGAAAAGAGACTGCTTCTCTTCTTATAATTCCGGTGAAGGCCTCACGATTGGCTCTCGAACCAGCCTGAGCCATGGGGATTTGCTGTCTTTGCTTAAACCACATGCGCTGGAACTCTAGAACATAAGCTCCACTGGAGTAGATATTTTTATTTAGTCAATTTTGTTCATTGCTGTATCCTCAGCACTTAGAAGCATTTCTGGCACATGATAGTGGCAAAAAAAAAAAAAAAAAATCTGTTGAATGAGTGAATGGGTGTGGGGGAAAGCTGATTTCCCCAAGAAAAATTGTGGAGCTGTTCACAGAAAAGGAGGGAACACATGCCAGGTTATAATAGATGTTTCTCCGTCAGGCATGCACAAGAGCAATGACAGCAGCAGTATTTGTTTTAGTCACACTGTTGTATCTAAACCTACACCTACTTGGAATAGTTGATTCTTTTGAGTTGAGGTTGGATCTTCGTGAATCATACTCAAAACAGTGTGATGCACAGATGTGGGGGTGGGGGTGGAATCCTTGCAGGCCCTTTCACCTGACAATAAAGGAGGGGAGCTACCCCCTGTAATAAAGATCAGCCCCCTTGGTTACATTCATTGCTCACCCATTCTGCTTATTTTGTTCCCTGTTGTGTTTCTGCCCTTGACGAGAAAGCATGGAATATAGTAGGTGATTGATAAATATTTAATGAATGAATTTATTGAGTGCTTTGTATGCCAGACTTTGTATAATGAACTGGAAATTC